TGTAACACTGGCTCGGCTCTGCTTGTGAGTTGGGTTTTTCAGGATTCATATCAGTAACTGTAGTGGTCTCTACTGGGACATGTTTCCAGGCTTTAATGTTCAAAAACATCTTTATTTTTCTCATACTGCCTGTGCTGCAGCGCCTCTTTTCACCCTCTGTCTGAAACCAGAGCCCAGTCTGCTCTGATTGGTTAGCTGGCCGGCTCTGTTGTGATTGGTCAACAGCTTAGAGATGTCCCGCCTCTTAGCCTACGAGTCTTGAACATATTGTCATATTCAATGATTGCAATGTTACGTTAAATGTTTCCTTGTTTCTTTCTAAAAATGTGTCTTTGTTGATGTTGCAACTGGAGCTGTAATAAAGAAAGAAAAAGTTCAGATTTTTTCCGATCATCGTATCGTATTCCCTTCAATATCGTGATTCATATCGCGATTGCAACGTCAGTCACAATAACCGCACGTTGATATTTTATCCATGATTGTTTCTCTGGTGTGTTGCAGTGACAGCTACATTGTGCGCGTCAAAGCGGTGGTGATGACCCGAGACGAGTCGAGCGGCGGCTGGTTGGCACAAGATGGCTGCCTGAGCCGAGTGGGCGTCTGCAGGCTGCTGGCCAGCGAGCTGCTGGGGCGAAACGCCTTCCTCATCCACGGAGAACGCCTCAAAGACAAGCAGGTCGCTGCCCACGCATTGCACTATTGCTATTCTATTTTATTTGTATTTACTTGCACAATTTTTTTCATACTTTATTTTCAAGTTGTTGACACAACAAAAACATAATAATATATAGGTCACCAGAGGCAATACATTACATGAATATGTTCACAACAATTAGTCCAGTATTATGGGGCACCGTCCCCCAAAACAGGCTCACAACAAATGTCTGAGCCCGTTTTTTGTAACGATAAATCACATTTAAAGTTACAACCGGCCCTTTGAGTGCAACCATAATGCTAATGTGGCCTGCGATGACATTGAGTTTGACACCCCTGCTTCACATGCATTAACTCAAAGGAACCGATAAATTGAAGAAAGTCCGTCTGCACATCATTAGTTTACTTCAACCTTTAAAACCACTGATTAAGGTGCACTAAAAGTGTTTTAGTTTTAAGAAGGACTGGTCAATAGCCTACAGTGAAAACAATTATATCTGTGAGTCTCTGAATCTATGCCAATGCTGAAATGTATGGAGCCTGCTGAGGGTTATGTTTTAAGTGACATTTTCTTTGTGTGATTATTCTCCAGGTGATTCTGCAGTGTTTCCTGAAGAAGGACCTGGTCTACACGAAGGCCACGCCCACGTTTCACCACTGGAGGGTGGACAACAGGAAGTGTGGGCTGACCTTCCAGAGCCCGTCGGACGCCCGAGCTTTCGACCGCGGGGTGAGGAGAGCGCTGGAGGACCTGACCGAAGGTACAGATCACACACTTAGAGTAAAGTATACAGAAGAAGAAAAGAGTATTGAGATACCTTTCAAGAGTCACTACTCTACTTTTTCTGGTATCAGTACTTTACTCCACTACTTATTCTTCTGACTTTTTACTTTTACTTACATTTTTTAAACAAATACCTGTACTTTCTACTTCTTACATTTTGAACACAAATACCTGTACTTTCTACTTCTTACATGTTGAACACAAATACCTGTACTTTCTACTTCTTACATTTTGAACACAAATACCTGTACTTTCTACTTCTCTCATTTTCCAAACAGGCTGGTTCCTTTAGTTTGAATGTGTGTTTGGTGGCGTGATCATTATTATTTAGAGTCATTGCGTGCCTATTGATTTGAACACGATCCGTGTATCCATCATTTCCTGGTCTTCTCTAAAGAAGAGGGACCAATGAAAACGTTGTCATGTTGCCGTTGTTCAGCATGGAAACATTCATTAGCTAACAATGACATTATTGTTCTATTAATATAAAGGGAGGTCAGGTACTCTTTAAAACAGCTGCTAGTTATGGGTACTTTTTACTGAAGTACATTTCAAAGCCTCTTTACTTTGACTTGAGTAAAGAAGTTTAGTCAGTACTTCTACTTTTACCAGAGTATTTTTAAACATGAGTATCTGTACTTCTACTTGAGTAATGGATGTGTGTACTTTTGACATCTCTGCCAAACTGTGTTGTAACCATAAGAGTGCAGATAATCAATTGTGATCAGTTACATATAATATCTTTCATTTTCCTGCAGGGAACGGCGGATTTGGAGCGAGAGGACGAGGAGGAGATGGAGGACAGCGGGGAAGTTTTAGACGACAGCAGCTCGAGTCCCTCCAGCACCTTGAAGAACTATCCGCTCACCTGCAAAGTCCTCTACTCCTACAAGGTACAGTAGAAAACACAATAGTGGGAAAAATGGGTTGAATAAAAAATGAACGACAACACAAATTGAGAGTTGGAACCAGACCATGATGTTGCCTAAGGTAGAAAGCTTCCATGTCACTGTTGTTGATTTTTTTTTTTTTACATTTATCACATTACACAAACACAACCGAACATTCCCAACATTCCCAACATTAGACATATGGCAGATTAAAAAATAATGCTAACAAATCTATAAAATAAAAAGTATCCAGTTGCTAGAAATCATTTAGCTTTCAGTTTAGTTTTTTAACAAATGCTGTTTCCTTGTTTGCAGTCGTCGCAGCCAGATGAGCTGACCATCGAGGAGCAGGAGATCTTGGAGGTCATTGATGACGGAGACATGGAGGACTGGGTCAAGGTGCGCTAAATATACATTCACTAATTCAAGTTAAGCATGTTTGATATCAAGCTAAAATTTGTTTAGAATTTTAAGTATAATGTCTCAGAAGTATGTAGCTGCTATACACAAAAGTACTCGGTTGGATATCCCTGCTGCAGAATATTTTAACCCCAGCTCATTGTGTTTATTTGATGACGTTTGCTGTGGACTTTCCCACTGAAAGTCAAAGTCAACTTAATCATCAATCTTTCAGTTTGTGTGTAGAGAGATCGAAATACCGTTTCCCAAAATCCCGAATACAAAAATACAAATATATATAAAAATATGTATATCCTATATATACACAATAAACAGACACATGTATACATATGCACACATTAAGACATAAATAAAAGCACAACAATCAATATATACAAAATAACAGTACCTTCAATATCTTTGAGAAATGTACATTAGTGCAAGATTGTCCATAGCAGCGTAAAAAATGTCTGGTGCTGGATTTGAGTGTCTGTGTGGGGTGTTAATGTCCAGTGGAGGGAGGAGGGCTCAGCTTCCTGACAGCCTGGTGGGAAAATATGTTCTTTAGTCGGGTGGTGCTCGACTTCGGCTTGAAAGTGTATATTTTCTGCATTTTCTCCAGGCCAGAAACCGCAGTGGGCTGGTGGGTTACGTCCCGGAGAAATACCTGCAGCTGCCCTCCTCCAACAGTCTGCTCAGCATGCTGCAGGCTCTCGCTGCTCTGGACGCTCGCTCTCACTCCTCCAGTAACTCCACCGAGCCGGAAACTGAACTCCCAACAGGATCCGTCAACGGAGACTCCAGCGGTGAGGGAACAATTATGTTTTCATATTCCATTTAGTCCTATTTTCTGTTAGAAAAATATCACAGGTCACCGGCTTGAGCTTGAATCTCAGGATCCATATATCTGTGATCCTCTCCAGAATGGAAGTAGTCATCACATACAGAGCATCAACTAGTTCCTGAACAGTGTCCTTCACATGCTGATATCCAAGAGAGGGAGTTCCACAGTCACAAGATGGAGGAATAGAAAGCAGTATTCAATGTTTACTTCAGATTAGCTCCACGTCAGAAATGATCATGCTTGTCATATGTCTCTCTCCATAGAGGCTGAATCATCATGTTAATCACATAGCTATCATATGCCTCAAACAGTCCTGATGCTGAAGAGCATCAGGACTGTTTGAGGCATATGATAGCTATGTGATTAACATGATGATTCAGCCTCTATGGAGAGAGACATATGACAAGCATGATCATTTCTGACGTNGAGAGCTGGAGCTCTGATGGAGTCAGGACTCAGAGAGACACGAGGAGAGCTGGAGCTCTGATGGAGTCAGGACTCAGAGAGACACGAGGAGAGCTGGAGCTCTGATGGAGTCAGGCTCAGAGAGAGACTCAGAGAGACACGAGGAGAGCTGGAGCTCTGATGGAGTCAGGACTCAGAGAGACACGAGGAGAGCTGGAGCTCTGATGGAGTCAGGACTCAGAGAGACACGAGGAGAGCTGGAGCTCTGATGGAGTCAGGACTCAGAGAGACACGAGGAGAGCTGGAGCTCTGATGGAGTCAGGACTCAGAGAGACACGAGGAGAGCTGGAGCTCTGATGGAGTCAGGACTCAGAGAGACACGAGGAGAGCTGGAGCTCTGATGGAGTCAGGACTCAGAGAGACACGAGGAGAGCTGGAGCTCTGATGGAGTCAGGACTCAGAGAGACACGAGGAGAGCTGGAGCTGTGATGGAGTCAGGACTCAGAGAGACACGAGGAGAGCTGGAGCTCTGATGGAGTCAGTACTCAGAGAGACACGAGGAGAGCTGGAGCTTTGATGGAGTCAGGACTCAGAGAGACACGAGGAGAGCTGGAGCTCTGATGGAGTCAGTACTCAGAGAGACACGAGGAGAGCTGGAGCTTTGATAGAGTCAGTACTCAGAGAGACGAGGAGAGCTGGAGCTTTGATGGCAAACACTGGTGGTTTATTTGGAGTTACGGCCGGAGAATTGACAAGACAGGTGGTGTGTCACGAGTTGACACAGCGGTTGCCAAACCAATTCTGAAGAACTCTTTCTGTAGCTCGAGGTTTTAACTAGTTCAGAGTGTAATAATCAACATTCTTCATCAGTGAGACTAAACAAATATGGACCCTGAATCTAACTAGAGCTCTCGTCCATAGGAAAGAATGTGCGCCAGGGAACCTTCGTCCCTGAACAGTAAACTACCTCATGGCGGCTTGTGCTCTGTCATAGACTGGCAACAACAATGCGCCCAAGCTGCCCCTCCTTAAGAGAGATAGCAGCAACACCCAAGGCCGTAGACCTGTGCCATGGGAAAGGAGATGGTGAGAGGAGAAAATGATGAGCTGTGTCAATGGTTGAATACCTAAGCAAATTATTCCCCAACACATGAGATAATCTCTCTAATGGCAACAATGCACATCCATTTTTTTTTTAACTACGAGGTATTCAATCAACCATTTCTGTAATATTGTGAGGAGTGCAGCGTACATCTGAGTATGGACCTATGTCTGCATTCAGTAGAAAGGCAGAGAGAGGTCCAAGAAGAAGTATGTCATTATTCGGAGAGTGACAGTTATAAAACAAGGCATAAAAAAGGGCGTGTACAAATGAGCAGGGCAGGGAAATGTGGTTAAAAAAACGCGTGGAAAACACTAACAGGGCAACATGGAGCAGAGTGTAAGTGATACTGGCAGTCCATTCATGTTTGGAAATCTCAACAATTGCCAGAAGAGGCAGCCCATAATACCCTTTGGTTTTGATTCACTTCTATCAATCGGGTCAGATTATGCCCTCACTGTAATCTGAACTGCACTAAGGGTCTATTTGTAGCAGTCCAGTACCAACTCTAGCTAGCAGTTGATTTGGCACCAGGGTGCGACTTCTTCGCTCAAAACTATCTAAACGAAACTGCACCAAGAGTCATCAAAAATCTAAAGCTGACTGATTGACATGTTGTATCTTGAACAAGCTAAAACAAGCTAATACACCCACTAGTCAGCTGGGTTTTGTTTACATTTACAAAACATTTGCGAAGTTAGTTACTACATGTGTTGTTTGAAAGACGATTGATTGGTTGAATCCTTTTGATTGGCTTTACTCTGAGCACTGTGATTACCAGAGATGGCAAAAGTACACACATCCTTTACTCAAGTAGAAGTACAGATACTCGTGTTTAAAAATACTCCGGTAGAAGTAGAAGCACTGACTAAACTTCTTTACTCAAGTCAAAGTAAAGAGGCTTTGAAATGTACTTCAGTAAAAAGTACCCATAACTAGCAGCTGTTTTAAAGAGTACCTGACCTCCCTTTATATTAATAGAACAATAATGTCATTGTTAGCTAATGAATGTTTCCATGCTGAACAACGGCAACATGACAACGTTTTCATTGGTCCCTCTTCTTTAGAGAAGACCAGGAAATGATGGATACACGGATCGTGTTCAAATCAATAGGCACGCAATGACTCTAAATAATAATGATCACGCCACCAAACACACATTCAAACTAAAGGAACCAGCCTGTTTGGAAAATGAGAGAAGTAGAAAGTACAGGTATTTGTGTTCAAAATGTAAGAAGTAGAAAGTACAGGTATTTGTGTTCAACATGTAAGAAGTAGAAAGTACAGGTATTTGTGTTCAACATGTAAGAAGTAGAAAGTACAGGTATTTGCGTTCAAAATGTAAGAAGTAGAAAGTACAGGTATTTGTTTTAAAAATTTAAGTAAAAGTAAAAAGTCAGACTATATGGATATATCATATATATATATATTATGAATATCATATGATATGATATATATATATAATATGTATACTGTGGACAAATCTTTGCAAAAATTCTACAATCCTCCTTCCCTTATATGACATTATTGGTACTGCTCGCTCTTTTCTACATGTTTATTTACGGTAAAGTCTCCTTTTATTGGACTTTGAAAATCTTCAGCCCGTCGGTAAAGTCGAACTGTACAAGTAATTATTGACGGGGGGGGGTGTCAGGACTGTTGTACCCGAGAAGACCTAGGTCGCTGTCTCACTGCCTGCGTAGTAGAAGAAGGACCGGGACAACCTTTCTACTGGTACGACCTGCTGGCCTGAGGGGGTGGTCGGGCACTGCCGAGTGGGGCGTAGGGCCCTTCGCCTGCTGTAGTTGAAGTAGGACTCCCTCGTAGGCGTTGAATGGAGTCCCGGGGCTGCCATCTTTCCATGAGGGCCTCAAAATCCTTGTGCAACTTCCGACAGTGTCTTTAGCTGACCTCAGATCAACCCGTCCTTTACTATTCATGGGGTTTAAATACAATCCTTTAACATATCCATAATTTTCGCCAGTGGATAATCGGGGTTGTTAGGTGAATAGGTTAGAAAATATGTAAAGTTGGTAACACAAGGAGACACAATTTCGTCTAAGAACTTTCAAAGTCGTTTTTTCCTGGGAAAAGAGAATATAGGACTAAGGTAAATATAATTTTGGAAACCCCCAGACTTTTATTCGGACTAGTCTAAACCGGTGGGAATCGGAAAAACGACCGAACACATTGGTAATCGGTTAGTTGGTGGTCCATTGGGGGGGGGAGGGGTGGTGTGTGGTAATAGTGGGACTTAGAGGGAGGACCGTCGTGGTAACACAAGAAAAATTGGTATTATAAAACGACTCCCCGCCACCGGTCGGTCGTCGAGTAATCGTAAATTTCGATGTCTGTGTACTTTAGTCGGTAGAAACTTTGTCCCCGACCTTTGTCTCCCTAATACCCGATTACGGGGATGTTACTAGACCAACCACAAAGTCCCGGTTTGTGAAAGTCTCTGTACAAAACATGATATAGACTCCGGGATATTGTGTAACTACCCTTTGTCATATTATCCCTGGAAATTGTAATACATACATCGTATACGAGCGCCGTTAAAGTGTTAATCGCGATTACAACCGCAGGTGAAGTGGTATATATCGAAAATATTGACCACAAAACGACAACGTCACGCCGGTCTGCCTCTGCAACGACCGCGGACCTCGCCGTAGGCCCGGGATCCACTGTCTGGGGCTGAGGTTTCTGTGAGTCAGGTAGACGATCCTTGGTGTAGCAGTCGGTAGTCACGTGCCCCGACCAGTGGTAGCCGGCCCAGTAAAGATCTGTCAATTTTCACCCTACAGCGATTATTTCTTCATTAGACTGTGATACTACACGATAAACTGTATTAATTACAACGCGCCCCCAACAAAAGCCGAACCGTCCGCCCTTCACCTGGTGCATGTCTAGCCTACCGACTCCTCTGAGACCTGCGGGTCGGTAGTTTTCGTGTGCCGGGGGAGAGACGGAGCGGGAAAGTTTAAGACACCCCAGACGTGTGAACCCTTCCCCGCCCGTTCCGGGACCTGGGGGTGGGCAGATATAGGCCGGACCACGTCCTGAATGCCGGACCTCTTAACTCCCAAATTGTGCTGTGAGCGGACTCCATTTAATCGGTAACCAATTTCCCCGGTGATAATACATTTACCCAGACGTTTCGATTTTAGGGACCAACAAGTGATGAATGGTTATTACGCAAAATTAAATAAGTCGTTGTCATCGACGGGGAGCCACTAATACCCTCATGACAAGTTAATGGAAGTACCGACGTTTTCGGTGGTATTTCGTTGAAAAATCAAAATTCTACGACGTCGAAATTTCGCGAGGAAAATTAATTATTTTTACATTTTTGTATGGAGGAAGTTTTACCCCCAAACTGAAAAAGGAAATTCGACCGACGGAGCCCTCTTGCATGATTTTGTAAAGGACGGACGCTCTCTCCGTCTGGAAAATTGATCGATGTCTGTGTTTGTGTCTGTGTAAGACTCCCTCGGATGTAATTCCGACACGGGACGACCGTTGTTACGACCTGTAAAGACGATAGTGTTTTTCTGACGCCGTTTTACGGGTGTTACAGTGAGAACATCGGTAATAGTCGCCGGGCGATTCATTTCCCGGTGTAACTAAATGTAGCGATGTGCGGTAGAAAAAGGTTATTAATCCCACCACGTAAAAGTAATTTCGGGGTTATCCATCGGAACCAAAGGGTTCTTCTTCTCCTTGAGGATGTCAAGTGAATGAGGAGTAATCTGCCGCGAGAGAGTTTATAAGAGAAACTTTCGAGTGACAACTATAAACCTGGTCGCAAACGGGAAAGTGTGGCAGCCCTCCGGGCTGCGTAGACCTTATCAGTTTATCGGGAAGAGGAAATTTGTATACTGTGGAGTAGCCCTAGTTTCACCGCCGATTGCGAATAGCGAACTTGAGACTTTCTCCGTAGCTCCTACAACTGGACCAGTAAAAATATGACAACTCTCCCTTCCCTTTAGGTGTTGTGTAGTTGTTAATCGAGTTCCTGTGTATTCTCTGAAGGAAGGAAAATTATTTATTCGTTACCTTATTTTACGAGTTTGAAAGAAGAATACAACTTGAAGAATTAGTCAAAAATTTCGTTTTTACAGTCTAAAGTGTTTACGTGACGAAACGGAAAAGATTATAATTTTACTTATGCAAAACCCAAAAAATTGTAAGTTTTCGGGGATTCCCAGTAAAAACAGTGAGAAAAGCCTGTAATATCTCTGATTAGGATTTATTTTTGTTATACAACTCACCTCGAAATCAAATGTAACAAGGTCTTTTTTCCAATTAAATAACTCTAATTCTATATGTCTACTAGAATTACAGAGAGAAGAGCACTAATTAGATCGATGTTAGCATGTAACTAATTTTTGTTAAGGTTACAGTTTGTCAATAAAGTAAACAAAGTATTTTCACATAAATTAACATAATACAATGGCCTTCTCTCGCGCGTTCATTGCGGTAATGACTATAAGAAAGATGATACAAAAATTTTTACCTAAATTTAAGATATATACCATAAACCACACAAGGAGAGACGGCGGTCCACCGATTCCGTGGACCGCCGCTGCATGCCTCCCTTTCGGAAGCTACACCGGTTCTACCCGAGTCCCAGTGGCCAAGTCTCCACCGGAATAACAGCCCTTC